TAAGCAGAGTCATCCATGGTGACTCTGGCAGCAACTAGCTCAGCCTGACCTCGGCTCTTGCCTTCTTCCCTTTTTCAATTTTTTTTTCTTTTCATGATGACAGTGTTGAGGCTCTGCCTCCCCTGACTGCACGTCCCTGCTTAAGGTATAATTTAAATTTCACCTACTGCTGTTTTAAAGAAAAAAAAATATTCTGAAAATTAAGATTGATAACTCTGTTTCTTACTTTCTCCCAAGAATGTTCACTGCGGAGATCTACTAACCAGATTTTTGGATCCCAAATGCTTGTAAATGTTAATTTTAGCAGATACATATTTCATCTTGGTCAGATTAGAATCAAAGTACGATGTCCTCAATAGATTTGACATTTTCTGATCATTCTCATCTTTGAACAAATATTCTATCAACAGAATAAGCCAGTGAAGATCCCTAGCCAGGTCTGTCTGAAGCGGTGGGAGACCAAAAATCACCTGAAGCTCATCTCCAGGAAATATTTAACAGAACAAAATAATTGATGACCTGCTTTCCCAGGAGGTTCCAGGATGTAAAAGATGACCCTGTACCTGTGAACATCATGTCTCAGATCTAGGGCCCCAGGAACAGTAGTGTACCTGGAAGGAGCCAAATGGTAGATCATTTCAGTGTGATCCTCCACATACTGATGTTAACAGAGGAGATCTTGAACTAGGAATGCTCTACACTAATGAAGAAAAGTCCTCTAAACTTTAGGCACTAGGTTTCAACTACCAAGTCTTTAAAATGCCTCTGTGGAACTTTTCAGACCGGAAAACTTCAAGTTTTATTCAAAATAAATTATGTGCCTCAATCTTAAACTCTTCCTGAGAAAATAACTTCTATTTTTAAAGTTACACATAGGATTCAAATCTACACAGAGGACAAGTGTATAGAATCAACCTTCTTATACTATATACACACACTATACACCGTGATATGATTTGTTTATCTTGTATATTAACAGTTGTGCTTTATTTGCAATTCAAGAAAGGAAAAATACTGGTATTTGGATGTCTTTCTTTTTAAGTGGCAGGTCTGAAGCCTTGACCAGGCTAAATTTTATAGAGTAAGGCTGGCATCCAAATACATTTTTTTTTACAAAGGATGGTCTTAATGAGTCCTCTCAATACAAGGTATAGTTTGAGTAAATGTATCTATCACCTCCCGAGATAAACTGCCATGTATGACAGAAATACTTTCATAACTACTAAAATTATAACAACAAAATTCATAATCCGGTCAAATATTTTTCACACAAAAATATTTTACTATCTGCTCTTATCTGCTTATTCTAATCCTCACTCATCATTATTTGGGAATTGAACTATTCTGTATGAGTTGAGAAAAAAACAATATAAAAGCCAGAAAATTAGCAGCCTTTTATAACATTGGTGATTTTCATATTTAGATATATGAAGTACAAAAACAGAATTTCATTTTAAAAAAGCCTTAAATAGCTATGTCATTTGACAATTCACCAAACTATAAAATATTTGCTCAGACTTCCAAATAATAGCCTTATGTGGAATTGGTTCACAAATATCAAAACAACTGGTCTTTCCAAATATTTTCACCCTAAATCAACTTTTCCTTACCTCAGCGTCCTCCAGACTTCAACTCCCAGAATTTTCAATGAACTGGTAACTTGGTATTCAGAAGTAAAGATGACAAGGGAATCCAGATTGAGGAAGATTACCATAAATCATGGATAACAATTATATATTTCTGAACTTT